GGGGGGGGGGGGGGGGGAAACAGGGTAGGCAGTCACTGTCTTCAGATAAAGGAGCATTTGTGGCCTGCCAGTTTTAAAAGTAAGGATTGGATTAAAAAAAAAAAAACTTGAGTTGATCTTGCAGAGTAATATTCTGGAGTCTGATTTATGTTCCTAGTTTGCATTGATTGGGAAAATTGTGTATAAGAGGCTTAGGCTAAGACTTGGGTTCTTAGGAAACGGAGCCCCCTTAAATCAAACTTTCTTTGACTTGTTTCATGCATTTCTATTTTGTATTTTTCTTTCTTTCTTTCTTCCCTTTTTTTTCCTTTTTGCTACATATTGAAGGGCATTATTTTAATACACAATTTTTTATACTATATATATATTTCACATAATGTATAAATATATATATAACAGTCCACTCTATTTTATAAAGGTTTGACTTCCTTTTGCCTTCTAAAGAGCACAGCGTTTCCCCCCCCCCACCTCATCTCTTTGTTAAATGCCTGATTGTCTTTGAATATAAGGTTAAAAAGTTGCAAAGAGAGAGGCCCCTAAATTCCACAGATATAAGGAGGTGTTAACGCATGGTATTTCCTTGGTAACAATTGAAGAGAGTTGAGGTGACTTTCTCCTTCTGGGACCCACCTTTCCTCCTCCTCAGACCATCCCTGCATTTCCTTATATGGGTATGAGGGGATGTACTATCTGATTAAAAGTTTGTTATATTTATAAATGTCTATAAAGCCTCTAATGTTTATTTTGCAAGGTGTGGTTCAATCAGCATTCATTGCCACGATGTTGATTAGGCTCACCCAAATGTGTCTTGGCCAAAATATATCTGTTTACTTTCAAAGAAGTCTCGTCTCAAGTTTTTTTGTTTGGCTCTTTGAAACTTGAATAACAAAGAGTGCCTTACAATATTTTGGTGACAGCTATTTATCCTATTAGAGCACGCGGCACCTGCACTCTTGGAGATGCCTTAAAACGCACAGTTGCACGCCAGAAAAGCGCAGGCTTGACTTCAGGCGCAGAGAGCAAAAGTAAGGGAAAAATCTGAAGATTCCTATTGAACGCACAGTGGCCGGCTACAAAACAGGTAGCTCGGCGCATGCTCGGGGTACTTCTTTTGGACGATCTGTCAATCACCC